GACGCATGCGGGGGAGGGAGCGGCGTTTTTTTGTCTCTTGTTTGGTCGAAGGAAGGCGTTGACGACAATAGCAACCTGGTTGATCCTGCCAGTAGTCATATGCTTGTCTCAAAGATTAAGCCATGCATGTCTAAGTATAAGCTTTTATACGGTGAAACTGCGAATGGCTCATTAAAACAGTTATAGTTTATTTGATGGTCTCATTTTACATGGATAACCATGGTAATTCTATGGCTAATACATGCGCAAAGGTCACCTCCTTTGGAGGGGCTGTGTTTATTAGATACAAAACCAACCCACTTTGTAGTGGAGTCTTGGTGATTCATAGTAACCGAACGGATCGCAGTTGGTTCTTTTGGGCCCGCGATGGATCATTCAAGTTTCTGACCTATCAGCTTTCGACGGTAGGGTATTGGCCTACCGTGGCAGTGACGGGTAACGGGGAATTAGGGTTCGATTCCGGAGAGGGAGCCTGAGAAACGGCTACCACATCTAAGGAAGGCAGCAGGCGCGCAAATTACCCAATGAAAACAGCTTCGAGGTAGTGACGAGAAATAACAATACAGGGCATTTTATGCTTTGTAATTGGAATGATGGGAATGTAAAACCCTTCCAGAGTAACAATTGGAGGGCAAGTCTGGTGCCAGCAGCCGCGGTAATTCCAGCTCCAATAGTGTATATTAGAGTTGTTGCAGTTAAAAAGCTCGTAGTTGGATTTCTGTCGTGGTCATCCGGCGTCGCCCGTATGGGTGTGGGCCTGGCATGCCCTCGGCTTATTTCCGGTAGCCTTCCGCGCTTAATTGCGTGTGTTGGTGTTCTGGAACTTTTACTTTGAGAAAAATAGAGTGTTTCAAGCAGGCTTGTCGCCCTGAATACTGCAGCATGGAATAATAAGATAGGACCTCGGTTCTATTTTGTTGGTTTCTAGGACCAAGGTAATGATTAATAGGGACAGTTGGGGGCATTCGTATTTAACTGTCAGAGGTGAAATTCTTAGATTTGTTAAAGACGAACTACTGCGAAAGCATTTGCCAAGGATGTTTTCATTAATCAAGAACGACAGTAGGGGGTTTGAAGACGATTAGATACCGTCGTAATCTCTACCATAAACTATGCCGACTAGAGATAGGGAAACGCCTACCTTGGCTTCTCCTGCACCTCATGAGAAATCAAAGTCTCTGGGTTCTGGGGGGAGTATGGTCGCAAGGCTGAAACTTAAAGGAATTGACGGAGGGGCACCACCAGGCGTGGAGCCTGCGGCTTAATTTGACTCAACACGGGGAAACTCACCAGGTCCAGACATGGGAAGGATTGACAGATTGATAGCTCTTTCTTGATTCTATGGGTGGTGGTGCATGGCCGTTCTTAGTTGGTGGAGTGATCTGTCTGGTTAATTTCGATAACGAACGAGACCTTAGCCTGCTAAATAGGGTCAGTAACTTTGCGGTTACTGTATCACTTCTTAGAGGGACTTTGCGTGTCTAACGCAAGGAAGTTTGAGGCAATAACAGGTCTGTGATGCCCTTAGATGTTCTGGGCTGCACGCGCGCTACACTGATGCATGCAACGAGTTTTTACCTTGGCCGACAGGTCTGGGTAATCTTTTGAGTGTGCATCGTGATGGGGATAGATTATTGCAATTATTAATCTTCAACGAGGAATGCCTAGTAGGCGCAAGTCAGCAGCTTGCGCCGATTAAGTCCCTGCCTCTTGTACACACCGCCCGTCGCTGCAACCGATCGGAGGGTCCTGTGAATTCATCGGACGGACAAGCCTTACTTTGTGGGGCTGGTCGGGAAGTTGCGTAAATAGAGCCCTCTAAAGGATGCAAAAGTCGTAACACGGTTTCCGTAGGTGAACCTGCGGAAGGATCATTCACACAATTCGCACGCCTGGAACGCGCTGCTGGTTTTACAGGTTTCAAGCATTCGCTTTGCCTGGGTGGCCAGCAGCAGGTAGTCGTCGGTGTTGTTGGAAAGAAAAATTTAGTCCATCGCAACCCTTGAATCTGT